ATCCCGGCATGCTCCCAGAAATCATCCCCGAATCCACCCTGCGTCTCCTCCTCCCATGGGATATGAGCCAAGGGCCAAGAAAAACGCGTGGTAGCAGACCGAAGGTCACAGGCTCCAATACACCACTGCTTCTCACACATCGCTTCCCATTCTCAAAATATTTTTCTATTTTTATGGCTGGTTCTGGGGGCGTTGGGTGTGCAAGCCTGGCGTTGCATTGTGCAGTAATGAAGCATAACCCGGCCAGTGGGAAGGGGGGGGGGGGGGGCAAAAATGCCGGGAATTTTGAATTAGTCTCATTCTATGGGGGCGGTGAAATATGGTATCGGTATCTGCACTTCGGGTGACTCGGGCACTAGCAGTTTAGTGGCTGTAGGTGGGGGATCAGAGGTTTCGCTGTTGGGACAACTGGAGCTGGGTGACTACATCAGGGCCTTGAAGCTGTGGAGGGGAATTGTGTAACTCTATACTTCTATCCTAGGCTTAATTAGCAGAAGGCAGTCAACTAGGCTATCTTGAACTTTGGGGCAATGATGGATTCAATAACTACAGGTGAGCGACTATGTGGCTAAGGAATTACACACCTCCCCCCTAATTTTTTCTAGTGCCACACATCACCTTACACCATTCTAAGATAGCCCATGCAGGGGGTCGACATATTTCACTTTATTACATCTGTATCTTTTCCGTTTCTGCTTGTGACTAAGGATTATTCGATTGCTTGAGTCAGCCTTTCCGTAGTTTTAATGACAAATTAATGCATTGGTTCGGGGAAATCGGGGCCGACTTATACAAACTAAAAAATAACACTAATTATTCTAGTGAGTGTCTCCACTTGCATATGAGCCTGTATAAGTTAAAACCTGATTATCGGGCCTCAACTACAAAACATTTATTTTTGCTTAACTACTTAGCCAGTTATGTAAAGCAGGTATATAGTAGCTCAGAAAATATTTTAGAACTTCAGATGACCTCTGTAGCATGTTTTATGTTCAAAAAACCGAAAATTTCATAAATATACAACACATTTTCCTGCACTTTTCAAAAAAGCCCAATAATCAGGTTTTAACTTATATAGCCTCATATATAGACTGATCTGCAAATCCTGGGATAAAAAAGAAATATAAGAGGAGGAAAAAATTAAACCCCCGTCGGTAAACAAAGGGGCTAGAAGACAAAGAACAATAGAGAAGTCTGGAAGGGAAAAAGGGTGGAGGGGGGCTAAACACAATTAGAAACGGTAAACATCAGCTTCAGTGAGTCTGGCAGTGTCTTTCGAGGGCCCGGTTTTAAGTATGATATTAGTGTGTGCATGCTAAGCCGAGGTGGCTAGGCATATGAGCAAACGGAGAGGGTTGGACAGCGTAAGAGCTATAAGCAATAGCTTTTATCAGAGCGAATAAATTCCCCAATTGTGTATTCAAATATACGTAGAGGTTAATAATATACGGTATATTTAGCCTCTCATTTTATATAATACAATACAATACATACATCCTCTAAGACTTATAACCCTAATACACTAGTCCTAAGTAGCAAAGCTTCATTAAATTAATTATAAATCTTTTAGCAGATCTTCCCTATATATGTATGATGGATTGGGCTTGCTACATAATGAACCCTTCCACTAAGTTTGACACCTATGGGTGGAGCATGCTTGAGTCTATAGAAATAAATCCCCTAGTATTGATTATAATATCTCCAGTTGCAATTGGAATTCAAGTTTCATAGAAAGAAGCATCGAGGGATCTAAGAAGCTATGAACGGGTTAGGACAATAAGATAGTTATCACCTTGTATCTATAAACTCTGCTTTAAGCTAATTTTTTTCTCTTTTCCCTTACTTGTGTTCAATTGTGAAATTTTTGAAGTACAAAAACTTGAGGTTGAATAAAATACGTATTTTAAAATAATATACGGAATTTAAACTGTATAATACCATAATATTATTATACAAAATTGTATCATATCTGTTGTTTTCCTAGGGATATTAGAGGACCGGAGGGGTGATTTTGGGTACTGGGCTGGAGTATCAGGGCTGCACTTAGTGTTGAAAACATGAGAATGATTTCATATGGGAGCTATAAGCATTCATGTGTATATGTAAGTGCTTACACATCTTTCATGTCCTTGTTGTGCATTGCTCCCTGAAGTTTGTTTTCTTCTGTTCTTTTTCTTCTCTTACCTGACCAACCAACACATCCAATTCCTTCTATTCCTCCCTCGCTGTTTGCTCCACTCTGTATAGTCAACAAACCTACCTCCTTCTTTTCTTTCTCTTGACTCCACTCTCTGTATACAAGAAAAACACTTTTCTCTCTTTGGGCATTTACTTCCTTCGGTTCTGTAAAACCTTCGTCAATTCAACCGCAATTTTCAACACTTAGAGGAAAAGGGTTTACGAGTGATATTCTGTGACTATGATATGTATTGTACTTTTAGTATAACCGAACATCCGCAACGAGCTACTCGATTCTCAACGCAAAACTAAAGCCCACAACGATAAAGGTCCCTCAACAGTGAAAAATAACATAACCAAACTTATTAAGATTCAGGAAATGCCATGACATGGCTATGAACATATACTATTTGAATAATTCTTATTCAAATAGTTCTAATAGCAGGGTACCCAATATATACACATTAAATAATAATAATTTCGAGAATAAATATTTCTCTACCATATTTTACGTCAACCCATAACTTATCGTAGAAGCCCGGCACCACTACGACCACAATACAAAAAGAGAATCATGACCTCCTTTATCTAACCATATCAGAAATTTAGAAATTAGACAGGGGGGATAAAAGGTGAATAGGGTATTGAGATTCCTAATTTTTTTAGTATGATTATTATTTTAAATATGCTATGTGTGAAGAAATTTTCAAGAGACGTACAGAGAAGGCTTCATCTCACTCGCTAGGACGTCTCTCAATTTTATTTTTATTATTTTCATCTTTCTATATTAGGTAAATAAGATTAGTTGATTCAGTTCAGATGCCGGAAACGTTGCAATGTTCGGTTCTTTATGCTAACGTACCATAGTAATGAAATTTATATGGAAACCGATCTAGAGAAAGCGGCACTTCCGGGGCGCAAGTCACTCTGCCAAGTGTTGTTCTTGAGGAAGCTGTCAGTGCCCGCAGGAGGCCCCCGAGAACTAACCCCCTTGTCCTATAATCTGTTTCTAGGGTTACAATTCATCGATATTGTCCCTTTTCTATTATTTATCCACCCCCGACGGATATAGCCGTGGGCTCTATTACAGAACTGTACTGTTTCGTGAATGAGTTTTGTAAAGGTCACCGTAGGATCGCGGGTGAGGTAAAGTGGCCGTGTTGCGAAACACGGTTTAAGGGGTCTGAACTTTCTTAGGGCCTGTTCGGCCACGACCGTTCCGTTCCGTTCGCCATACAAATTGCCTTGGGGTTCCGTTCGCGAACGGCCATTCAGTATGTACGAACGGAACAGAACGGTGGTTGCCGAACAGGCCCGTAAATGCATGCCTACTGCGGCTATTTACCGTATGTCCCTCACGATGAAAGCGGAATAGCCACTGTTTCTTTAGCCTTCAATTTCCTAGTACATTTTCTGGAAAAACAGTGTTTTCTTATTTGTTGGCGCTCCGAAGGGGCTTTAATACCTTTGCAAAAACTTACTAACCCCAATGCAAACTGTGATTCTGCACACCCCTCTCCCTCCCCAAAATAGCAAAAACCCATTGCTCAACCTCCACCATCCACTTAACCACCAGGCTACCCATCCACCTGGGCACGGCAGTTGCTTGCTTCCACTTCCTCACTCTCTGGAGTCCATTCATGGCCGAGTCCCAGTCTTGTGTCCATAGAAAGCTCTGTGTGCACCATTGCTCAACTACATACAGAAGTCCAATAACCGAGACCACGCATGTGATAAGTGCGCCAAGTAGCCAACTGATCTGGATGTTGTGTGCCTTGAAGTATTCCACATCCTCAAAGTCAACGTACCCTCCCCCGCCACCCCACGTGCTCGATAGGCAATAGCAGCTATTGTAGATACCGAAAGTCTGTGCGATGACAACCCACACAAGCCAGCAGAAGTTTGTGAATTCGCAGAAGCGTAGGAACCACTGTGCTACCCTCCGTTGCGTTCCCGGGTTTAAGAATACCCATGCGGTCATTTCGGTGAACAGGCAGAAGAATGCAGTGATACCGAAGATCATGTACCCTCCGGAGCGGCAGCCCAGACCGACAGTGGATGTGTAATAGCTGACGATGAAGGCGCCAATGCTGCAGGAGATGAAAATCATAATGGCAGCTACGATCTGCCATCCTTGGCTCTTGTCGAATGTCAAGAGGCCAGAGTGGGGGCTCATGTCTAATGCTTCGTGGGTATTCGGGTATCTCGCTAACCAATCCCGCCTCATATCCAGTGTTTCCTCCATTGTTCGAAGGATTGAGTGAGCCGCGCCGGAATGCCACCGGACTCGCGCTTGGCCGGCAAACTCTCCAAAGAAGCTTGGCTCCCTCACCCCCGGAAATACGTTCGGAATGCGCTCTCTCTTCACTGTTTTTCGCAGAAAGATGTTCAGCTTAGTGCGGACGTAGCGGGAGTCCGTTGGGTTTCTGTCAACGATTGTTGCGGCGACGAGAACAGGGAGCCAGCACATTAGCAGACCTAGTGCAAGGTTGTGAGCAGTCGAGTTCTCCCCAAGGTCCCCGAAGGCATTGTATATTGAGATGGCCATTGCCGCCAGAAACCAGGCAAGCGATACTAGGTTTTGGACAACTCCCCGACGGCGTTCCCGCCGGATACTTGCCGCGACTCTGCCCCTCGCCTGCTGGACAGCAGGCCCCCCACCGAACAGAGCTACTCGAAGGATATCCTCCATATGGTGCTCTGGTAGCTCCGGGCAGATATTGAGCTCGTATTGATTGATGACGCTGAGGAGGTATAAAGACTCTCTCAATGCAGCGAAGCGGCTGGCTTGCTCCGGCCGCTCGGTCACTTTCACGCTCATGTCAACCATAATAGCGCACTTCCTAGAAACCTTCATGTTCCAGAAAATGTACATCATGGAAGCGATGGGTGAGCCTAGCCACCGGAACACAAGTAATATCGTTTGTCGAAGGTTATTGCTCTCGAAGGGCGCCTGGAGAACCAGACTGACTAGAGGGAGCACCCAGGTCGTGATTGTATCGGAGGATTCTAGCCAGGTGTAGAATTGTGGTGTGCTGCCACAGTGCTTCTCGCAGGCATCAAGGGTTATGAGGAGTATCGGGTCTTCGGTGTCCGGCGCCTGGCCCAGCAGGCCTTTCACAGGACCGGTGTAGATATCCTCACGGGGTAGGGAACCGTTCTCCTTTGAAATTTTAATAGTTATACCGCATTTTTCAAGGTCCGTTTTCGCAGTCGCTACAAGCGGGGCTGAAATTAAAAGCAGGAATAACATGAGTGACTGTGGTTTTCCTGAAGGGACCCGCCGCGACAACGGGCGAAGGGTACCTGCACTGCAGCGTTTAGATCCTTGATGTGCGTTTCCCTACGTGGGTATTAGATTTGATTTGGGCTTTCAGGAAATGCGGGCTAAGTCTCGGTGGGAATTGCAGGTAGTGATACTCACCCTTGAAGGCCCATGCCGCAAGATTCCTAGATATTCCAGGCTCCGGAACCGAGTCATTGAGAAAGCCTCAGACCCCATGCACGATGAGGGTCTATTGAGACCTCAGGTAAAAATAACACTACCGGTCGCCCTTTGATAGGCTACGCTTGTTGAGGGAAATACGAGTGTACTGGTACCCGTCAAACTTCATTCAAATGGTGGTAAATATTCAGCTGGGGATATCTGAGACCTCATGCGCTTAAGAGTGCGAAAGGAATTCCTACAATTCCTGCATATGGAGAGAAAACCCATTAGTTTATACGCTGCGAGTCTATGGCACTCTGATGCTCGAAGTGGGGCTTGAGGTGGTCCGCCCCGTTTCTAGGTTCTGTACCACTATCCGAGTGCATGGAGCAGCATGTGATGAGACACGCTAAGGACCTAACTCCCCCCCCCTCTCGGGTAACCCAAACTAAAAACCTCGATCCATCACCATTAGCAGTTCCGGTGCCTCAATATCTCATCCCACATAACTCCCTGCACCACTATCAGGAAGCCCCCCCTCGGCCGAACCCAACCCAGGCCTCCAGAGCCAAGGGCCGCTTCCGCACAGAGCCAGCCCATCAGCCCCCAGGGCCACGCGAGAACAGCCCACGGACCATAGTCCAAGTGATCCTAGCAAGAATTCTGCCTTGGGCTTTTTTCTGTGGGCACACAGGGAGTGAAATTAACTGTGTCACAACACTTGTTCTTGTCATAGAGCTGGTAACTGGGAATCCAATAGATGCAGTAAGGACTCGGGGTCTATTCTCCAAGCATGCGCCGCCTCTTCTAAAACAAAGGGAAATTTTTCTGCTCCATATACCCCCCCGATGTTACTCAAGATATATTCTCCGTGTTATCAAGAAAATAGTTATCACACAACCGACACATAAATGATCTGATGTATGTTGAATTTCCAAATTTGTTTCATAATTATGTATATTTTCCTTGATAATATCGTATATTTCTCTACTTGGTATTATTATAAACATTACTACAGCTGGAGTATGTATTACGTATATTTCATTAATATTTCATGATACAATTAGGGGATTATGGCGTGCTTTCTTATCTGGTGTTCGGGTTTGTTTCTTACATTTTATCCACTCACACCACTTCAGATATACGCATGTTTTTATGGGATTTCCTTGGCAGTTCTTTAGGGTCAAACACGTTCGCACTTATGTTTTCCTACTTACTAGTATGTTATGGTCAAACATGTCGACACTTATGTTTTCCCTTACATTTCCTCTAAAGTTACTTAAAGGATGCACACCTGTATAAATAGGTATTACCACCCATCTCACTTAAGAGAATTAAGGACAAGAACTACTACCAATCTACCTTCATACCAAATTCCTCCTCGCTTTACGTGCCCATGGTATACTCTCTCTACCTTGTCGTATTTTTGTACAAAGTTATTAAGATAGTGCTGTACCATACACATTCAAACAGGTTATGAGCCCGGTGCCTCTATAACTATACGACTTACACTCACACGTTATCCACCAAACAGCTGACGAAACATTTCACCCAATCTGAAATATTTCCACTTCGAAACAAAATTCCTAACCAAAATAATTTCTCAAAACATTTCTTGAAACATTTCCTGAAACACCCTTCGAAACAAAACAATCCTAGGCACGAAAATCTCTTGGCAAAAGCTCGGCATTTTCTTGCTTAAAGGCAGAACTTGCCACTCAGAATCCTACTGGTCCACTTCTTTCCTCAGGCTCCACTTGTACAGGTCTCGCTTGCTCGGGCGCGGTCCTCCACTGGCATTACCCTTCCCACTACTCCGTTGAATCCCAGCAGTGCTGCAAGGCATACTTTCTGGCGAGCAAGTAGCGGCTCAAGGAGGTGATAGTTAATAACTGTGATCAAAGATTCTTAACATAGGTTAACACTCTAAATATAAGTTAATAACCTATTTTTATGACAAGCCCTGATGATTTCACCGGACCCCCTTTTCCACCTCCCGACAAAAATTCCGAAGAAGAATTCGAGCAACCTCCACTCCCTCCAGTACCTCCATTCCCTCCGGCTCCTTCTCCTACTGATCCACCTGCATCACAGCCTGGTGCACCGCCTCCACCTCTACCAATAGATCCTACAGGCCCCGCCAACCCACTGCCACAAAATCATTCCACCAACTCTAAGAGAGACTGGGCACCTGCCTACAAACTGAGCTCAATCTCAAAGCTCACGGGCCCAGAAAACTACAGAACGTGGCATGATATATCAGAATATGTACTTACCTTATTCAATTGTTAGGAGATAGTACGAGGAGAAGAAACATTACTGGAAGAAGGAGCGACTACCGGACTAGATAATGATGAAGATGCTCGAGACTCTTTCCGCCATCGTTACCAGTGGGCCTCGGCCTATTTCCTTGAAACGATTGATCCAAAATGGCTTATCTTGTTAGCCATACACAAGACACCCCCTGCTATTTAGACAGCCTTCAAAGATAAGTTCGCTCGCGAAAATACCTCCACCTTCTTTGACCAGCTAAACGTGGTCCTCAATTCCAAGTACAATACGTCCAAAGACATGTCGAACCACATCAACAAGTACGATACCCTATGGAATCGAATGCAACTTTGTTGCTCCTCTGCTTCGGAAACTGACTGATATGCTCTACCATTTGTTTTTAAATCAGTATTTGAGTCAACCGAAGCCAAAGCCGCCGTTCTCCTCCGTTCCCTGCCCCAGTCAATGAGCAACATTGTCGACAACCTCCAAACCAAGGAGGACCTTACCTACAATCATGTCCACAACAAGTTGTTAGACTTGAAATCCTCGGTTAATTCTGAGGATGACAAAGCATATAAAAGTGCTGATGTCAAAGGAAAGGGAAAGGTTCGCGACACGGCCCGACAGCAACCAGCCGAGACGAAGGAATGCTCTTACTGCAAAAAGCACTACCCCTCTGCTCGCAGCGAAGGCCACTCCTGGAATGAGTGTAACAAGCTCAAGGCTGACAACTTGAATGAAAAGCAAAAGAAGGAAAAAGGCCGACACTCGGCCAAGATCGGAAAGGAAGAAACACCTGAATTGGTCAGTACCTCTACCTCCTCAACTCCAACGCAAAAGACCCTCCACCCAATTAAATGGGTCATCGATACAGGCGCAAGCTCATACATGACCTCGAACCTAGACCTTCTTATAAACTTCAAACCTACATAAGCCACCGTTAAGTTAGGCGATGATTCAGTAATAGAATCATGTGGCCGTGGAACAGTAGAGCTTAAGGCCAAAACATCTAATGGCCGGACAGCCTCTGTCTTTCTACAACAGGTTCTTTGAGTTCCTAAGTTGGGTTCTAGCAACTTGTTGTCGTGGCGCACTATCGTTTCTTTGAGAAAAGGTTTTTCTTTGCAGAGTTCTGGGAAGGATATGTATGTTTTTAGGGAAAATAAAACAGAGGTTCTATGGGGAAAGCTTGACGGACAGGACTATGTTGTGCAAGAGGAAAAAGAAATGGCAAATAAGATGACTTACAAACAGTGGCATGAAGCCCTTGGACATCCATCGCCACAATACCTCAAAGCCGACCACTACTCCGACTCTCCCGCTATTCCTACCGTTCCAAAAGACTGGCAATACGAATCCTGCATCACCTCCAAATCAACTAAGTCAAAACCCAAATCAACTGAGAAACGATGTGACATACCCTTCGAGTTAATCCACTCCAACCTTAGTGGACGATTCTCAAAACCCTCCTTTGGCAACTCCTGGTACTACATTACCTTTATCGATGACAATACACGCTATGCATGAATCTACACCATAAAAGCGAAGTCTGGCATGGTAAAAGTGTTCGAACAGTTTATCAAGGAAAGAACAACCCAGGATTCTACCACCATCAAAAGATTCTGTACTGACAATGGAGGCGAGTACATCAATGACAAGATGCTTACCCTCTTTCAGAAGCATGGAATTGTGCATGATAAGACCCCTCCTTACTCACATGAATCTAATAGTATTGTCGAATGGTACAACTGTACCATCATCACATCGATACACTCTATGTTGACTGGACTTACCCTTAGCCTTTGGGCCAAAGCAGTCTCCACCGCCGTCTACCTTAGGAACAGGCTTCCTAACCGAGCCATAGGAAACTCAACGCCCTATGAAGCTATCTACAAAACAAAGCCGTTGATTAACCACTTGCGCCCATACGGGACCAAATGCTACGTCTATATACCAGAGGAGAAAAGAAAACCTGGAACCAAGCTACAGCCCCGGGCCTTGGAAGGATATCTTGTTGGTTATACCTCCTCCGACAAAATATACCGGATATATATACCATTACAACATCGGATCTCCCAAACTAGACAAATCTATTGGACAACCAAGACAATATTACGGCTTGACTTAACAGGACCGTTGGATCCAAAACAACTGATCCATACATCGGAGACCTTTGCTACTGTTAAACTTCCCTCTTTCCAGACCGCCTCGCACCCTTGCGATAAGCCTCAAGAAACAGAACATGATGACCAACATTTATCACCATCAAATTCACCTCCATCAACGTCCTCATTAAAAGATTCTCCACCTCCTTCAACTAAAATCAAGCCTCCAGAAGAAGTTGAACATCCTATATCACCCTTACCACTACCGGAACCTCTAATACAGAAACCACCCCCGGCAGAAGATGAACAAACTTGAAGACGAACTCGATCAGGAAGAGCTGTATGCCCACCGCAACAATATGGCTGAAATGCCACTGAAATGCCAGATGAGGATCCTATGACCTATCACCAAGCCATAAACAGCCCTTTCCATGATCAGTAGTCCTC